TTAACTGTCTTATATTTAAAGCATTCAACACCCAAGTGTCATCATAATTTTTTCATTTTTTTCGGGTTTAATGAAAGAGGAGGTTAATTAGTGCCCTTATTAGATTAATTTTGAGCTAAAAAAGTCTATCTGTATACAAGATAAGATTTGGTGAGTCTCAATAAAGCATAAACTTGTGTTTCCTTAAATAATTATAATGAATTAAATCTCTAGAATACCTGAATTTATCATTTTCAAAAAGAAAAGGATGACATAATGTGTATGTTATGAAGTGATTTAAAAGAGACCTCGCATGCACTTTAGTGCAGTAATTGTTATCCTTCGTCCCTATCACAACCATATATCTATATACATTGTCAACATGTTATTGGTCACTTCTCTCTCTCTCTCTCACACACACAAAGGTTCCCATTCTGGATCAAATTCTTGATTAGTCACCATTTTTAACTTCCATTTTCGAGTATCTCTCCTACACAAAACTTATGCTTCTTTTTGGAAGTTTCTTTTTAGTTTTTAGTTTTTATTTTTTTGGGTAAATAAGAGAATTATCATTGTTGTTGGTGGAGAACTAGATAGGAATATCCAATCTCATTAAGATCTTCCGTGAGAATCATGTTGTTCTTTCGGTCTTTTGTTTTGTATTTCTTGGATTTAAGTTTTATTATAGTGGATTTACATCACATCTATATATTTCCTTTCGTTTTTTTATTATTATAAATCATTGGTCATTAATTCAAATGAGACTTCGTATATATAACGGGTCATCCACAACTATATATATACACTAGAAATAATTCGTATCTAAAAGTACGGTGTAATATAAATAATTTTGAGAGAGATATTGGTGACGGTTGGATAAGTCTATTTAAAACCGTCAGATGAGTTTCTTAAAATCTGTCATATTTTATATTTTATTATAATATAATATATATATATCAATCAAGGGATATTTGCACTAATTTACGCGCGATTAATCCCTTTTCAAATTCAATCAAAAATAAGTTATTAACACAAAAATTTAAATATTTAAAAAAAAAAAATTCTTCGCTCATCGTGACCTTACTCGAGAATTATTAAAATTCAAAATTAACTCTTTACACAAACTCGTCTTCTTGGTACGATTGACAGGCATGAGTAGACTCATTGTTCACCGTCGGTCCGCGCAAAGTAGTTGGCTGTTGTATGGTTGACAGGTGGCGAGCTTGTCGGTTCAAGAGATAAGTACGAGATGACACGTGGCAGTTGTAATTGCATTTAGTCACTTCCTAATATTTCGGACAGTTAAAAAGAGGAGAGCCGTCTAATAATGTAAGGATTGTTGTGGAGACGCCAAGTGGACAGCTTTTTATCCCGTGATGCGCGGCCACGAAATAGCTTGTCGTGTAGACAACTTATACTGCGCTCGTTTATTAGTGTGTAAGGGACGACTTTGGTCAAATCAACACCTTTTAAATGAAATTTATAATTTTATAATATAAAATAAAATAAATTTTAATAAATTCATTTAACGATTTTAAATAAATTTATTTAATGATCATCAATATCTTTCTCAAATTCATTCACATTAAATTTTTTTTCCATAATTCATAACTTTTTATTTATCGTGTTTTCACGTACGGGTTACCCTAGTTTATAATATAAAACAAGACATGCTTCAATAAGTTTATCCAACAGTCTCAAATAGATTCATTCAACGGTCACCAACATTTCTCTCAAAATTATTTATATTATACTGTATCTTCAGATACGGGTTATCCCTAGTGTACAATAAAGAAGACTACAGTACCAATTTTAGTATTATACTCAAAATTATAATTTTATAAAAGACATGATTGATCCTAAAATTTTATGATCGTCAAGTAATAACTTTTAAAAAAAAAATTACATTTGATTGAATAAATATGTGATCAATCATAAAATACTTTAAACGTAATAATTTTTAGTATTGATGGTGCTCAAAATCAACTAACCTAATTACATAACAACATGGAGTGCGGCCCAAAGGGAATGAATCTGACACTATGTGACAGAATGTGTGCTAAATGTTAAAGGTAAGATAAAAATGAAAATACGAGTAGTTGACCTTTGCCAAATGACTGAGTTTACATCCATTATAAGGGAAGTTCTTGCTCTTTCAAAATTGTATTTCTTGGGGAAGAAGTTTCTTGTTACAAGGGATTTGGCCGGAAGCCTTTTACAGAGTGTTTCTTATGTTACTGTTGGGTGATATCTTTTTCCTATGTTACTGTTGGGTGATATCTTTCCTGGCTGATTATAAGGTTCCCTTCCTGTTTGTCCTATAACTGGTCATGTCATCCTTTCTTGCACTCACTTATGCCTTGAACGAAATATGTGAGACATTTCTATTGTCGGTGAATATTCGTTCGTTCGGATTGTCAGATACTGTCCCATTGTTTTCTGTCCACGTGCCATGGCACGGTCATTAGTGAATTGCTTGGTGTCGAACTCCCAATTTTCGAGCGGATATTAGTATCAAACTAGTTTATGCCGAACTGACATCTATTATAAGCTGAATTTATCTAATAAATCTGCATTCTACACTATCAAACTTTGATATATTATAAAAAAAAGAAAAATACAATAATGGAGTTAACTATTTTTTTAAAAGAGTAGTTACATGTGCAATAATGACCAGAGAGTGGTAAATGAAAACTATGTTTTGCAATTGAATAAATTTACGTTCTTGAAAATTAAGAGATAAATAGAGAAGACTTCCAAAGTTACCTTTCCTTAATAAGAATCTTTTGCATAATAGTATAGATTTTTTACTAATATAATGATTATAATTTGAGTTATAATCACAAATATAAAAACTGCACAACCAATATGAATTTTCATTAAAAACTATCAAAAATGACACTTGATACGGGCACATAGTTTTTACTTGATATACTCAAACCTTTGGGGGTTGTTTGGTAAGTTTCACCATTTAGAATCGGATGAGTTTGGTAAAATTAATCCAACTCTGCACATTTAAATTTTTGAGATAAATTTGGATAGGAATGTGATTTATTTCTATCGTACCTCATATTTGAGAATGATTGGAGAAGAGTAGAAGAAACATGTGAACCCTGAGACGGGATATTAAATCCGGTACCACTTTTGATAATATTGCCCTTTGTTCAATAAAATATTTAATTAGATGGAATGACACATTAGGAATTGTAATGCTAATCCCAATACTATCTGACATGCAAAATTAGTTTTTCACCTACTTATTGTTGAACCTCTTCGCCACTAAATCAACACACGCCAGAGGTGACCAAGTTGCTATTCACTCATTTGAAAAAATTATTTAATGGATTTAGTATTCAACCACGTTTGTGACGCTTTCAAGATGCAAGACTGACTGAGTCCACTTTTCCTTTCCCACTTTAACCTTTTTTTTTAATTGATATATTTTTCAGTGCATTGTTATTCTAATTTTACATAATAATAATAGATAATTTTTTTATAGATTCAAGTAAAACCCATTATTTAATTAGTGAATTCCTCATTTATATATGATAAGTGAACCATGGTAGAATGAAATTAAATAAAAGTAAAATGACCTTATTTGTTGAACCCAATTCACCCCCAACACCACCGAAACAAAAACAAATAATAATAGTATTTAGATTTTTTTTTTTGTTTGGTTTGGTTTGGTTTGGTTTGCGGAGCATTAAGACCATGAGAAGTCCCTTTTGTCACCTCATAGTTGGCTGATTTCGAGGCATTTTCAAGCACTTGTTCATTGAGAATCCTATGTTTGGTAGATTCAATTATTTGACCCTATTATGGAGATTAAGTCAAGGTAATAATCAAATACACCAATTTTTTAAAATATACCCACATGCTAATATATATACATACACCTGTCAATGCTAGTGGCGGCAGTGACAAATGGCTGAGGTAGGGGAGACATCGATGGTAATGGTGGTAACATTATTTGTCATAGTAATTGTAATAGTGGCAAAGACGGTGATAATAGCTGGATGACAGTGGTAATAATAGTGATCGGTATCAACGGTAGCAATTGCTGTAATAGTAGCAGTAATGGATGAAAAAATAAGAAGCTTTTTTGTTTAAAAGTTACTAGTCTTTTTTATAGTCAGGCACTGTTGCAGGGAAGGGGACGTTAAGGTTCAAATCCGCGATCTTAAGATCTAATAACGTGGACGGTGATTTATTTATTTTTTCTCTGGTTACATGGAAGGTGGTTATCAGACCAATCGCTGCTGACGTTGCCAGTCTAAGTTGGTTGCTTGCAAAATCCAACCTAGGTTTGCAGGCCCAAGACCATTTCATTATCCCAAACTTTTAAACATTTTTAAGTGTTCCCTACTTCAAGCTCCAATAGTCCCAAATTGGATTAGATTTCAAAATGTAAAGTTGGATCCAACAAAAGTTGTACAATGAGAATCGGACAATCAAAATAATGTTATTTAATGTGCATCATCATCCAATGAGACTCTAAGTCACAGATGATAACCCCGACTCTAAAACATATAAGCGTTCTCTATTCAAATTCGAATCGACGAAATTAAATGAAATTTCAAAAAAAAAATGAAGCTAGGTCTAATACATATCTGTACGATAAGAATCGAACAATTGGGATTTTCTACTTACCTTGCATCACCCGATGATGAGAATTGGAATTTGAAACAACAATGCGACTGAATTCTGATCGTACGATTCTCATTAAAATTCACGGGGATGAACCCAACTTCAAGTTTGGTAACACTATCTACAGTAAAATTCTGGCCCAACAGAAGCCCAGTATAGTTCGGCCTGAACCATTTAGTCCCAGTGTCAACCCAAATTAAAGCCCAAAGACCCAGGTTCTAGAACGTGTGATAAGGTGTAAAAATTGCAATGCTGCTCAGTAACGCCATAACCCCAAAATTCCCAGCCTCTCCTATTCCATCACAGCCATTGAAGATTGAAAACCCTCTGGGAGAGAACCGTCACATAGCAGTTTAGGGAGAGAAAGTGTCACCATGGCGACGTCTCTGCTTTTTTCTCCTCATATCTCTCCTCCAACCTTCGCGAATCGCGAACTGAGTCTTGGTAGTATGGGCCTCTTTAAGTCCTCTTTCTTCTGCAACCCTAAGCTTATCTTTTCCTCTTCTCCTCCTAAAACGCGAGCAAACCCATTTCCAAGATGTTGTTATAAGTCTCCGTTGGCGAAATCTCTCGACCACATACCGAAAGAGTTCAGAGGAGAAAATCTTAAAGATGGATGTGAGTACCCCCACCCCTTTTTTTCCACAAACACACACTCACACTGTTTCATATTGAATATTGTTCTATCTGCCTTTTTATAAATCTTTGATTCGATTTGGGGTTCGTTCAGTTTTATTTGATTGTTGATGAGGTTTATATATGAATTCTTGAGTACAAGAAATTTGGGGGTTTCTGATATTACTTTCTGGGGTTTCTTTTTTTGCATCATAAATATAAATTTGTGTCTGTTCACATTCATGTAGTTATGTGGAATCTTGTGTATATAATCCCACAATCAGTTCAACTATATTTCAAAAGATATTTAATTCAATTGTCTGCACTACACCTATATAGCTTTTGAGCCGTATTCCATTCATTTTTTAAGCTTATCTATGGTATTGAGAAATTTTATGGAAGAGATAGATTCGTAACTGGTTATAATTTCCTGTGGTTCAGCAATACAAATGCTTTTTATGTTCACCAAACTCAATCAAGTGACATTATTTAATAGCTTTTATGAAGGTTTTTCTTGCAAAAAGACATATCTTGTGCCACATTTGGGCTTATAAATCTTTATGCCACTGCTCGCCTTGACAACTCAACCTCAAAATGTGTTGGGCATTCATCTGGGCAGCCTTGTAGATGTCTGCTCATCTTTGGACACATAATTATGAGTTGAATTATCAAGTTTTTTTGTAACATGTTTTGTCTTTCTTTGGGTAGCGAACACTGGCCTAGATTTTTTGAAATCGTTGTGTAGGCTTGTAGAATGGTCGTTGATTGATTGCATGACAATATGACATGCAATAAGGAGGGATGGTGTCAGGGTTTCACCTCTCATAGATTTCGATTAAATGTTTGAGCAAAATAAATCACAAAAAGTTTGGCGGTATCTGATCCTGGTTGGACCAGGTAAGTGAAATTTCAAATTGTTCTGCTGTTGTTCAGCTAAATAGTAAGTTAGTAACCTGGACAAAAAATATGAGCCCAGAGATAAAATATTTTCCTATTACTTTGCATATCCGAAAGTGATATGCAGGTCCAGGAGCAATTCCATAACTGTCAATCTTTCTATATTCTATTTCCTATCCGCCTGTATGATCAGCTTCTTATCTTTCTTTGATTTTGGAGAGTGTAGCTTCGTCCGTTGTTATGTTACTATCCTGATTAAAGCTAAAGCTTCATTTTTAGCTACAACATAGAACTACTTTAGTTTCAAAGATTGTTCTGATTACAATATGGAATTCCCTATTTCTCATTTTTTGATTCCTCTCCATCCATACCACTAAAAGAATTGCCATAATCGAACATTCCCACAAGATAGAAGCTCTACATTCCTTCACAAATATGGCACAACTAGTCTCGAATAGAGAGATACAACCTCTTGGACTTATCCGCCTGAAGCTAAATGCTTTTCACCTTTGAAACAAATCACAAGTATTAATCTTTCCGTGGGATGCTGTTCAATCAAAAAGTTGCACCTTAATGGGCACTTAGCCTTTCAATGGGGGCGGTTCGACACTATATTTTGAAAAAAGCTTGGGCTTTAGGCCCCTAAATTTTAGATATCATAAATAGTCCATGTAAAAAAATTAAATTCATAAATATTTTAAGGCCTACAAAAAGGCCTTATAAAAACACAAGTCCAATCAAAAAAATTTCATACCTCACTTCAAAGAAGGCTCCATAATTTATAAATTTGAAGCAATAGTCCAAAGAAAAAATTTAAATTCATGCCCAAACAAAAGATTTCAACTTAAGTAGATTGGATCTATTAATTCAGCCGTAAAATTAAAAAGCCCTAAAATTTATTTTTTTTAAATAAAGAAAAGAAAACAAACTATAAAACTAAAACTACTAAAAAATCTAGTTTTAACCCCCAAAAAAAATCAAGTTTAAACTTACCATCATAATTTTTGAATAATTTTTTCTTTCTCTTACCATTAAGTTCAAATATGGTAACAAAAGCTTGAATATAAAAATTTAATCAACATTTTTGTATTTAAAAAAATTAAAAATTAAATTTATTATTAATGTTAAAAATAAAAAGCCTCATTTATCGTTTCTGCTCTAGGCTCCAAAATGTCTCAGGCCACCCCTGCTTTTCAAATAATCAAATGGGGTTCAAAAATTAGAGAAGATGGATCGTCAATCTAACACATGGAAATAAATGTGCTAGAAAATATGCTAGAAGAATCGAGAACCCACAACCTTCTGTCACCCACAATNACATTTTTGTATTTAAAAAAATTAAAAATTAAATTTATTATTAATGTTAAAAATAATCTAACACATGGAAATAAATGTGCTAGAAAATATGCTAGAAGAATCGAGAACCCACAACCTTCTGTCACCCACAATCAAGAAATTCCCCATTACTCTTGATGTTGGCTTCAAGTGAAAATTGAGTTTATTTTCTTATTTGTAACTTTCCCATTCTCTCTTTTGTAGTGATGGACAACTACAAGAATGCCCCTCAATATCTTTACGGTCTTACTCGTTCACAGATGGACATGTTCATGACAGAAGATAATCCTGTTCGCCGACAATCAGAAATAGTGACCGAGGTCTTCTTTTTTTATATGCTCATTCTAACTGTTTACCATACTTTCTTTCCATGGTGGAAGATTTAATCCATTGCAGGTAGTTTCCAAATGTTACTGATCGTTAATAGGTTTTTAACAAGAATTCTTATTCCACAAAAACTTTCTACAGGATAGCATCTCATCTGCCAACAATTATTTGAATAATGGTGGAATGTGGAGTTTATCAGGCATGAACGATAGGGGTCCTTCAAAATACAGTATGAGTGTAAGCATGTATCGTGGGGGAGCCAGAGGATATGGAAGACCGAGAACTGCTCCACCTGATTTGCCATCTTTGCTTTTAGATGCTAGAATTGTCTATTTAGGCATGCCAGTAAGCCACCAGTCCACCATACTAAATATCTTGCTATATGTTACCTTCACACTAAAATGGATTTATACATGTCGCAATGTAGATTTCATTCTAATTATGTCATTATATTTCCTGTCTGATTGCTACAGATTGTGCCAGCTGTAACAGAGCTTCTTGTTGCTCAGTTCATGTGGTTGGATTATGATAACCCATCAAAGCCTATTTATCTTTACATAAATTCATCTGGTACACAGGTAAATGTTTGAATAATTTCTTTTTTTAACAAGAATTCTATATAACCTATCTTCTCAGTCGGTTTGTCTCCTATATTCTTCTATCATTGGCAGTAATGTAAGATTATTTTTGTTTTGCCTGATGTAACACTCTGTGAACTAGTATTGATCTGTTTGTCTAATGCATTTGCCTAGAATGAGAAGATGGAGACTGTTGGATCTGAAACAGAGGCATATGCCGTTGCTGACACCATGGCAGTAAGCATTTAATCATATATGTTGTTATTTTTACTTATTTATGAAATATACCACACAAAGCTTTATGTTCATGGAATTTCATGAATTGTGTCAAGTTGCTTTATTTCTAAATGCCTTTGTCTGGTTTTTTTTTTAATTCCCCCCCCCCCCAAAAAAAAAAAAAAAAAAAAGTCTAACTTCTGCTTCTTTTCTTAATCTGCTTAAAGTACTGCAAATCAGATGTCTACACAGTGAATTGTGGCATGGCATATGGTCAAGCAGCAATGCTTCTATCACTTGGTACCAAGGGCTATCGTGCTTTACAGCCAAATTCCTCCAGTAAGATTCAAGTCTTTCACACATTAGTGTAGTTTCTCATTGTAAACTTTGTAATGCAACTGGGCAAGGTAATGTTGCTTTCTGCATGCTGCTAACATACATGGAATGCACCAACTTATAATTGGTGGATCACCAATACTGTGGAGTATAGTTTCCATGACCCTGATTATTAGTTGTTAGAGATTCGGCTGCAGTTCATATCCGTTAAGAGGCCATTTTTAAGACAAAGATCCCACTTCTATTTGTTGCCTACCTATTAATTGGGGAGTAATTTCCTTGTAACTGTGGTTATGACTTCTTGCTCATGCAGCCTACTGACAGAGTTTGGTATGAGGGCATCATAGTACTCTCTTTTCTTGTTTCTCACTGCATAAATTTGTGTTGCAGCAAAATTGTATCTGCCAAAAGTCAATAAGTCAAGTGGGGCTGTCATAGATATGTGGATTAAGGTATACACCCTCTCTCTACATATCCAAATACATATTTATATCTCCCCTCCCCCCCCGGCGGCCGGTTTTCCTTCTAAAAGAGTGGCTTTCTTACTTCGCTTCAAGTAGGCGAAAGAACTAGATGCCAACACAGAGTACTACATCGAACTCTTAGCAAAAGGAATTGGGAAACCAAAAGAAGAAATTGAGAAAGACATCCAGCGTCCCAAATATTTCCAAGCACAAGAGGCCATTGCCTATGGCATTGCTGACAAGATAGTTGACTCGAGAGATGCTGCATTTGAGAAACGGGTAATCTTTTGATACATTCTGTCTTCTTCTTACATTACCGTACCCTTTGTCCATACTAATAGTGAGGTCTCATTTATCAGAATTATGATGAAATGCTTGCCCAATCAAAGGCCATGAGGAGGGCACCAGGAGGTACTTCACAAGCAGCTCCCTCTGGATTCAGATGATGCCACGAAGTCATCATGGGCCATTGCTATATTCAAAGAGCAGGATCAAGTTGTTCCACAGTCTGTAAGCTAGCTTTGTCTGAAACTTTGGTTGATGTTGTAGTCGTAATGCAAAGAAAGCTGGTCTCTAAAAATCTGACCAGGTTGTGCTCGACTTAATTTGTACTTATTGAACTCTGTNTGTCTGAAACTTTGGTTGATGTTGTAGTCGTAATGCAAAGAAAGCTGGTCTCTAAATATCTGACCAGGTTGTGCTCGACTTAATTTGTACTTATTGAACTCTATACATGGGTATATAGGAGGAAGATAGTGCTCTAATACCAACACTTACTGTAAATAAACAAAAGGCGACATCCACACGGTGAATTTTTTGCTTTCGTTGCATATTCTACTTGCATACGGTTTTGCAAAAATTATGTGAATCGCATTTATTTGTGATCCTGTGGTGCTTCAACTTGTTTATGTTTAATTGATTGTTGCAGAATGCATGGAAGATTATGACTCGTATAAGTGCGTAAATTGCACCAATTTTGATTGCGTTCGAGTCATACTGTAACACATGCCATGTGTTACATTAAATTTTTGTAATTTGTTCTTTTAGGAATTGCAAAAAGTCTAGTCTTTCTTTTGGGAAACAAGAAGTAAATTCATTTTCTGGAGATATGTACTCCACTTAAGAAAGGTATGGTCATTTACGAAGCCATTACCTCTTGAAGAAATGTAGCCAAATAACTTCCCATTAGAAGCATGATCTTTTTAAGTTCGTCAAAGTATGATAAAGCTTTTCAGAAGTAATTTCTTTTAAACAAAAAAAATAAAAGAATTGTTTAATTACTATTTTATAAAAAGTGATCTGAATGCATATTTATAAGCCCGTCAAACGTTCAGATTTTAATTGATTTAAATCTAAATTCAATTTTAAAAATTTAATAATTCGATGAATTTTATCTTAGNAGTATGATAAAGCTTTTCAGAAGTAATTTCTTTTAAACAAAAAAAATAAAAGAATTGTTTAATTACTATTTTATAAAAAGTGATCTGAATGCATATTTATAAGCCTGTCAAACGTTCAGATTTTAATTGATTTAAATCTAAATTCAATTTTAAAAATCTAATAATTCGACGAATTTTATCTTTGTGGTTTATATTTAATCTGATTTGAATAACTTCATTAATTAAATTTTAATACATTATACTTAAATTTCAATTAATAATTTTAAAACAATCACTTAATTTCTCTAATACTTATATAAAAATATTGAAATAAATCGGATCAAATTATAAGTGATATATCCGTTTCGATCGAGTTTGGATTTTCAATAAAAAAAATATTAATTTCAATCCGGCTAATCGGATTCAAATTCAAATCCATTAACAGATCTACATATTTATATACAAATAATACACTTATCATATGTACATTTGTGTGTCTGTGTGTGTATATTACTATATATGTGCTTAAGGTTAGACAAAGAAAAAGCCAAAAATAATCATAAAAAACAAACGTTAATTAAAAAACTTGCAAAAAGCCAAAAAAAAAAAAAAAGTCACCGTTATCTTGCTTTTTGTTGAACGGGAAAGAATGTCATCAAAATTCAAACGATACCAATTTATGTCTTCTCTCGTCTTATGTTGTACATGGAATGGTATTCTTGAATTTTGTGATGCCCGAGACTTATTTTCGAATTCTCTTAAATAATACCCCTATCAGAATACCCTTCCAACACTAGTAATCTACCCATGAGCCTTTAAATAGTAGGTTGTTTCAAGTAATGGGCAAGAGGAAATCTGCACTTGAATAATATTAGATCAGCCAACAGTTGATGCAATTTTAGTCTAATAACAAAGACAAACATGTCCAAAACTAGTGTAAAACAACCTGAGCTTTTTGCAAGCTCGGTTCATGTGGTAGTATTGGGGTACACTTTCGGCTTTGGCTTCACTTCAACTTCATTCACGCTGCGAACAAATATGCTATCTGGTTCATGACTGCAAAATGAGAGCAGACAAGAGTTAATCGGGAAGAGAATGAGAGAGAGACTGGCTGAGATGAAGGTCAATTCTTACGGTTTATCTCCCTCTTCATATGTGTAGCTCGATGCAATGGCCAATAATCTGCCATCTCTGCTGAATGATAAGGCTGCAACACTTGTAGGGTACTTTGAGTACTGAGCGTTGAATTCAGAAGAGAAAAACAAGAAAGCAATGCTGGTGATTATGTACTTAAAAGAAAATATACGGATAATAATGATCTCTGGATATATATACCTGATACAACCTCTTCTTGTTGTTCCCATCCCACACATTGACATAACCATCGCACCCCCCGGTTGCAAATGTACCATAGCTGCAGGTTGAATTTGTAAGTAAGAAATGGTAATTGATGGGAAGAACCCATTATTATCTCAGTTGAATGCAAACTTTTGTTTAAGTTTGGAGATATCTAGCGAATTCAATAATCATGTTTTTTATTTGTTTGAAATGATCAATCGTGCTTTCAAAGCCAACCATATCTCACATCTGCCGTACTTGGATGCATACTTCTGGGGTGGTCAAGGCACTTGTTGCATCAAAGCACAGATGATCATGCAATAAACAATGCTCAACCAAAAAAATTTCACTAAGTGAAGAATTTTGAGAACTTACACCGGGTGAAATGCAATGGCATTAACAGGGTAGACAATGTCCCTTCCAGCTTCAGATCTCCGATGACACTTGAATGCATATCTGCACACCAATACATGAGATAGTGTAATGGTTGATGAAGAATATGCAAATAGGAATGCCTGCATTTTAAATTCAACAGTATTCCCTAATGGAAGAAAATTGCCTACTCCAAGATGTCTAACTGTCTAGTTACAAAGTGCCCTGCATCAAGTCATTTTGATTAGGGTGCCATCATTTCGCTTAAAGATTTTTAGTGACTATAACCCCCAGATTTCCGAAGTCCAACTACAGCATTGCATACCATGTTAGGATATGGTAAGCCAGTAATTCTCTATGAATATGTTTGAAAGGGGCAGACTGGGCAGATTTCAGCAGCGGAAAGAATTGACAGCAATTTTTTTTTCATGTTCAAAATGGATGAGAAATCTCCCTTGGTTGAATTATATGTTCTTGTCCCCCATTTTCCATTCTGCCAACGTCACTACCAGGAAAAGCATGATATTCTTAAATTACAGAGGAAGAGCTCAAAGGGAAAGACCTGAAATTTGCTACAATTATTTTGCATTTCATCCGAATCAATTGAACACACCCATCCGTGAAGTCAACAATATGACAGGAACATGAAGTCACTGTTGTCATGCAGACTTTGCAAGTTTTTCGATCCTATTATTTGACATAATCCTAGAGGAACATAATGCTATAGAAGCCAGGAAAAAGTGTGTGGAAATCAATCAACAAAAAAGAACATGAGCACTTTATGCTTATCCATGGTGGAAAGAATGCATACTTTTTGGATTGACCAGCCTCGGAAAGATCGAAAAATTCCATTGCAACCCGGCCTTCCACAGAACTAAGAGCATAACCTGTAATTACCATCCAGAGCAACAATTTGAGGAAAAATGCATTGCACGACATAAATCAAATTAGATATTGAGCTTCATTAGACCTCATACACAAAATTAATATTTCCCTGGCAAAAGTAACTAAGCTTTCCGGTTGGCAGCTGTCTTATTTTCTCTTCACTAAGATACTAGTCAGATTACCAGACATCCATAGAATTCTTGCATCAATCAAAATACAGAGTACCAAAAAAGTCCTAAGGTTTAAGATCTATGAACAATATTCACCAAAGAGCAACTAACCCTCTGGTCCAACAGTCACCCTAAAAATGATTTAATTGCTAATTTGAAAATAGTTTGGATAGGAAGACCAGAAAAAGATCCTGAATGTCAAGCCCTTATAACAATGAAAAGGGGTTGGGTCAGATGGATACCTGTGCCATAGGGGTAACAGCGCACACATCTAGTTTGGTATTTGAGAGAAGATTCCCTTCGTTGTTCAGGTTGAGACATATTCCGCAAATCATAAACATTAACATGCCTCCCTGCAGTTGCTACCACTACACGATTGCCAACAAGCGACAGAGAATAGACACGTTCAGGTTGGGTGTAGGTCCCAATAAGCCCGTTTGCTCCTCTAGGATCCCAACACTTCAGGGTCTTGTCCCAACTACCAGTAATCACTTGCCCTGAATCATAATAGATTGAATATATGTTAGTGACTATCAATTCATCTCAAGATTTAAAAAATACCATCAAGACAGACACTCCATACGAGTACATCTACCGAGAACATAGCATTATCCTGAATAACTGCAACCAGTAAGGACACAAGCTATAACTATCAAACATTGACTAAGAATGGTAGTTTCCTTGATTTTTGGAGACAGAACAGTACAAGGCTCTCGCCTATAGCAGGGTTGTCTAACAGAGGAGAGACTTAAGAGGTAGGCAGCCTTACCCTATTTTGGAGAGGCCAATTACCAGATTNTTTGGAGACAGAACAGTACAAGGCTCTCGCCTATAGCAGGGTTGTCTAACAGAGGAAAGACTTAAGAGGTAGGCAGCCTTACCCTATTTTGGAGAGGCCAATTACCAGATTCGAACCCGTGAAGTATCGCTTCCAAAGAAAACACTTTTTAATGCGAAAACAGGTCTTGATTCTCATCATTTAATTAAAACTTAAGTGATTATTCTATTTTTCCACATGCACAATATCCAAATTTCTTAAAATGTGTGTATGACAATCATATTTATGTAATTAGATATTACATTTTTGGTTAAACATACTGTCAAAAGGTTGCCATATTTACAACTAAAGCTCCTAAACAAATATCCTCCAATTTGTGAGAGAATGATGAAGTGCCTAACCATTCATAAAAACAGATGTTGCTGTACATCCTTTACACCAGCGCATACAAGAAGAAGTCAAATTAGCAATGTAAGAATGCCATAACTATGAAACCTAACCTGTTGCATAGGAGTATTCAATACAGCGTACAGGTGCATCATGCCTTCCCAAAACATCCTCCCTGCCGTAGTTGAAAACGAGCCTGCAATATCCAGAGCACTATATGTCACTGGGCATGACAATTATCTTTGAACAACTTTTTTGTCATTCTCTACAATAACAGGTGAAATTAGAGACAAACAATTCTCACTCTCCATGGATCAACATCAGAGACAACGAAGACAATTGGTCAAAAAGAGTGCAATAAAAATTGTGTCCTGATGCTGGAAAGTGATTAAGTAGATCCTGAAGCAGCATCTACGCCAAAAATGGATCTAGAAAAGTGTGGAGAAGTCATATAACATTACAAGATATTTCAGGAACAACAGATGGTCCACACAAAGAGCTGTTTATTAACGAATCAAAACATCTTGAGTGATCAAAACAGAAGCAATTTTGTTTGTAATAAGTAAACATATAAATAGCATGAACAAAAATTATGTGCATGGTCGACCGTAAGTCTTAAACCATGTAAATCACACAGAGAAAATCAAATGTCGCAGAAACAACAGTAACACATACACATATAGATCATCCATTTGGTTTTAACGACTTATGTGAAAAACTACCAACACTACTCAAAATATCACCTGGGGCATAAAGATTTTACCTCCTTACAGTATTGTCAGCACAAGCACTGAACCCAGAAGAATCGTCATGGAAGCAACAGTCCAGTACAGGCCCACCGTGCATGAACTCACCTCTCAGCACATTGGTACTCACATCATACAAACGTACACTCTGCACAAGATCAAATTTATCCAATCTAGTTCCCATTTAGATCTGAAGTTATTCAAACCATTCATGGAACCACGAATCAAATTGAGCTTACAATTCGAGGCAGAGAAGCTGAAACTCACCTTGTCCCACGACGAAACGAGGAGGTGATCACTGTGGTTGGAGAATCTGATGTTCGATATGCCGTCGGACGGCGGGTTCGAGATCTCCCGTCCGGCGACCTGTGGCACCACCGTCATATTTTTTTTCCCCGGTCTTGTAACCTGAAGGAAGGGTTTTGCAGAGAGAGAGGTTGTAGGGATTTGGAGTACACTGAGAGTGAGAGAGAGAGAGGGGGGGGGGGGGGGGGGGGG